ATGTAACCTTAATTCTGGATTACTGTGCTAACCATAATACTCAATCATATATCACCTCTAATCTGTTCTTTCCCTCATCTGTTTCAATACAATATACATAATTTATCTATGTTTTTATCTCTAGAGATCACTCAGGAGAAGGATGGGCAATGTTCTCTCGTGTGATTAATTACTTCTGAAAACCCACTGGAGGGTCAGCTAGCTATGTGTTGGTTCTGACTCAAGGGTACAGAACAACAACAACAACAGAGATGCCTAGTTTAGACATTTCATATAAATGGAATCATACATTTATACACAGCATTACCTATTATAGTGTTTTAGGGAAATACAGACATTTGCTGTCAGTTTAAAAAACTATTTTTTTCTTCTCTTTTTAAGTCTGAACGGTAAGCTAAGCAGCTGGCACCATTTACATTTGGGGAGAAACTGAGATCATTGTAGGTGGAAGGATCTCAGTTCAGTCAAAGCATCTTTTACATTGGGTCTGGAGAGCCACTGCTTGGAAAAGTTTGTGTGTTCCACCAGTGGGTGTCAGTATCTAATTAAAGATGGCTTTTCCTGGAGCTGTTACCATACATTACCCTGAAGCTAGTCTCAGAACGTCAAGAACAATCCTGTGTTTATTTACAGGATCACCTCCTGGTACAAAAGGTGTAGCAAATTATATTAGCCATGTGTTCTTTTGACATTAGATAGCTTGCAGAAGACTGAGATGTTAATCATTGTTACTGAAGTTGAACTCTCCTATTTTCTAAGCATATTTAATTGAAATCAGCCACATATGCTTTGACAGTTTTGATAGTTTGTGTCCTACAGACTCAAGTGAGGAAGGAAAGGATTTGAATTTTTCTACAATAACATCTCAGTGCCTTCATCTATAGAGATATTAAAAAATGGTATTCTGATTAGCCTTGTCATTTGATTAGCCTTGTCATGGGTAATCAATTCCATTAAGCAATTAAATACTGAAACATTAGTTTGCTTGGCAAGTTTTATGCTGTACTGACTCCTTTTTTATCTTCCATTCTTGTTACAGGCTATCTCTTAGGTAGTGAAGATTACTACTCCCATGAGCGTTGTACGTTTATCAATGCCCTAAATGTCACTAGGTGTGCTCTTGACTTCAGAGATGGTGAAGAAGTTGCATCTGGATATAAAAATATGTACTCAACAAATATATTCACTGAAAGGGCAATGGCCCTCATAGCTAACCATTCTCCAGAAAAGGTATGTCTGGATTCTTTACTGACCTCAGAATCTTACTAAGATAGCCCTTTTCCACATAAATAAAAGAAAGGCCACTGCTCTATGGATAAAAACCCAACCAGCTCTATGGGACTTGATTTAAAATTTTAAAATGTATCTGAATAAGCCTGGGAAGCTTGTTAAAAATGAAGATTTCTGGACCCTACTTCTAAGAGCTTGATGAGATGGATTGACAAAATTACTAGGGTAATGGGGGTAGGTGTGTCGGAGGAGTCAGTGAGACTAAATCCGGGCAGGCTTCAGAGCTGTTATACATTGAGTTGCAGGAGACTCAACGACACATAACAACAACATGTCAACCTAGAACAGACTGTAACTGATCCTTCAGCAGGTTTAAAGAGGCTATCAAGTGCATAGGAAGATTTTGCCCATTTTCTCTCTCAGAGCAGCTGCTGAATTCAAATTGTCTTTGGGTTGATCGTACAGCAGCTTATCACTAAGTCACCAGAGTTCTCCCTAGACATTCACTAAGTAAATGTAAAATCTATACATCAGAATTGTAACGACAATCCATTGGAGTGCTTCTGGTGCATGTGGTCCTCTAATGACACTTTTAGAAAGACTGTGTCTTGGAGCATTTCAGTGCAGATATAGTTTTATTAGTTTGGTGTGTTAAGTACATGTACTGTAAGAAATTAATAAAATTAATGTGGGTATATTACAGCAAACTTTCTGTTAAGGACAAAGTAGTAAATATTTTATACGTTGTAAGCCATAAAATGTGTGTCACAGTTACTTAATTCTGCCAGTGTAGAGCAAAAGCAGCCATCAATGACATGTAAACAAGTGGGTGTGGCTGTACTCCAATAAAATTTTACTTGCAGAAACAAGTGGCCTGCCAGCTTTGGCTTACAGGCAGTCTTTTGCTGATAACTGCTTTGCTATACAGCCATGAATTTGAAATGGCCACGAGAGGTTATTTAGTCCCTTGCTACTCCAGTTGTAGTCTGGAAAATAGCAGAATTAAAATCATTTGGAAACTTGTCAGAAATTCAGAGCCTTAAGCCATAATCTAGACTTACTTAAATCAGTATCTGCATTTTATTAAGGTATCCAGATGATTGTTACTATGGTTTGAAAGTACAGTTTCAGACTTATGAAAAAAAAGATCATAAAACTCTTTTCTGTTGAATTGGAACTTAACTCATAGCTGAGCCTTCATGGGGGTTTTCTCAGCTGTGGGTTGTCGGGGTGGGAGTTTCTGGTGGCATAGCAGTAAGTAATTGACTTGCCAACATAAAAGTATGTAGTTAAAATTCTCCAACTGCTCCACAGGAGAAAGATGAACTGCCCCCTTTTGTGTGTTTTCCTGTCTCTGAAAACCCAGTGGAGGGTTAGAGTTAATATGAATTGGTTTTGACTTAACAGGGCATAGTAACAACACCACCATACCATAGGGGAGGAGGTTGCCCACCTTTCCCCATATAGCTTCTTGGTGGCTTTAAACTTCTACAGAATTATGACCTTTGGTGCAATTCCCTATGGACTATGCCACCAGAACTCTCTCTTTGAGGTTTTCTGTATTTGTTCTCATTCTCAAGAAAGGTGATCCAATGGAATGTGGAAATTATCAAACAAAATAATGACTATCACAGGCAAGCAAAATCTTGCTGAAGATTATTCAAAATGGCTACAACATTACATCAATAGGGAATCACAAGAAATTAAAACTGGATTCAGAAGAGGCCCATGGCATGAGAGGTATAATAATTAATGGCAATTGAATCTCTGCTGAAAGCAGAGAATACCAAAAAGATGTTTATCTGTCTTTCATTGACTATATGCAGAGGTATTTGACTAGGTGAATCCTAACAAATTATGGCTAACATTGAGAAGTATGGAATTCCTAGAACATTGAATTGTGCTCATGCAAAACCTACACCTAGGCCAAAAAGCCCTTGTCTAAACATAAGTTCTCTGTGGAAATTATCAAACAATATCACTAATATTACACACAAGCAAGATCCTGCTGAAGATTTTTCAGAAACAACTGAAACAATACATTGACAGAGAGCTGGGTTTAGAAGAGGTTGTGGCACTAGAGACATTTTTGCCAATGTCAGATGGATCTTGACAAAATGTAGATAATATCAAAAGAATGTCTATCTGTTTCATTGATTATGCAAAATCATTTGCCATGTGGATCACAACAAATTGTAGCTAACCTTGAGAAAAATGGGAATCCCAGAACACTTGATTGTGCTTATATGAAAGCTATACTTGGACCAAAAGGCAGTCCTCAGAACAGAGAAAGGAAACACTGCATGGTTCAAAATTAGGAAAGGAGTGCATCAGGGATGCGTCCTGTTCCCATACCGTTTCAATCTATATGCAGAACAGATCGTTCAGGAAGCAGGACTTTATGAGGAGGAGTATGGCATCAAGATTGGAGGAAGACTCTTCAACAACCTACGTTATGCAGATGACACAACCTTGCTTGTTGAAATTTATGTAGACCTGAAGTGTTTGCTGCAGAAGGTCAAGGATTGTAGTCTTTGATATGGATTGAAGCTCGACATCAAGAAGACAAAGATTCTCACCATTGGGCCACTTGGCAGAACCATGATAGATGGAGAAGAGATTGAGGTTGTTAACAATTACTTAACACCAGCAGTCAGAAAATCAAAAGATGAATTGCATTCGGAAAATCTGCTGAACCTTGTGCCATTAGGGTATCAAATGGCATAAAGTTTACCCATGGTGGACAGTGTTTGGTGGAGCTCACAGTTTAAGACAGGTTTGGAAGCAGGAGAGGCATCCACTTCCTAAACAACATGCCTCTGTAATAGGCTTCAGGTCTTTTCTTTATAGAGTCACTACGAATTGTGCTCAAGTAGATGGCAATCAACAACCACAGCTTGAGAAATGCAGAGTGAATTCTTTGCTTTTTATTCTCCACTTCCAGCTCTCTACACATGCCATTATAATACTTTGCTTTGTCTTCTCAAGCTTCCCTTTGAAATCTTCTGTTCTGCTCTTTTTACTTCATCATGTTTTCCCTTTGTTTTGGCTCCTCAACACTCTTGTGCAATATTCAGAGTCTCTTCTAATATCCATTTTGAATTTTTAAGAACATGGCATCAAGGTTGAAGGAAGACTCGTCAATAACTTGTGTTATGTAGATGACCATCTTGCTAGTTGAAAGGCAGGAGGACTTGAAGCATTTGTTGCCGAATATCAAAGAATACAGCCTTATAAGGATTGCACCTCAGCTCAAGGAAACAAAAATTCTTATCACCAACCCAATAGGCATCATCATGATAAATGGAGAAAGGATTGAAACTGTTAACAACTTCATCATACTTGGACCCACAACCAACACCCTAGGTTCCAGCAGTCAGGAAATCAGGAGATATATTGCACTAGGAAAGTCTGTAGTCAGGAACATCTACAAATTATTGAGGAGTTATGATGTCAGTTTGAGGACTAAAGTGTGTCTGATTCAGACCAGGGTCTTTCTTATCACTTGTTATGCATCTGAGAGCTGGACAGTGAATAAGGTTGGCAGAAGAAGAATTGATGCCATAGAGGTATGGTGTTGGACCAAGTTCTGAATGTCCATGGACTGCCAATAGAACCAACAAATATATCTTGGAGAAAGCGCAGCCAGTGTTCCTTGGAAGCAAAAATTATAAAGCTTTTCCTCATATACTTTGGGTACATTGCCAGGAGAGTCTATTCCTTGAGAGGGACATGATTCTCAGAAAGGCTGAGGGTCAGCAAAGGAGAGGAAGTCCCTCAACCTGGGGCTCTAGTGCGTCAGAAAGTGTGACGATGGCACAAAAAAATGACAGGGTTCAGATCTGTTGTTCATAGGGTTGCTATGGTCATGCATGACTCAACAGCACCTAAGAGCAACAACAATAACAAAAAGTAGTAAGATTTGATATTGGAGTTAGTAGAAATAGGAGCAGAATCATAGAAGACCATGTGTGACCTTATAGAAATTAGTTTTGTACTCTGCACATTGTGGATAGAGTTCCCCTTGTGGAGTTAGTAGAGGTCAGATTTATCTGTCTCATGGTTGGTTTCCTTGGTTTTTTTAACACATAAATGCACTATAAAGTAGAAACAAAAATGCACAATCAGCAGAGTGTAAGCTAAAGTATTGGGCCTTTCTAAGAATTAGATCTCTGTGGGGCTCAAAGAACTTCTAGAAATGAGTAAAGAGAGGATCTTCAGACTAAGAGAATAATATTTGGCAATTACATACCTACCAGCGATTGATCTCTAGAGTTTATAGAAGACTCTGATACCTAAAGAAGTCTACGGCCATACCACCCTGAATGCGCCCGATCTCGTCTGATCCCTAAAGAAGGAAAAGGAAAAGGATTAAAAGATGGACAGAGGACATTAAAAGATGCTTCACCAAAGGAGACTTTCAAATGGCCAACAAAAATATATAGAAATGCTTAAGATCATGAGCTATTTAATAGAGAGGCAAACCAACACAACAATGAGATGGCATATTACTGCAGCAACCGTTTCAAAGGTCAATAAGACAACAAACAACAATTGCTAAGATTATATGGTTCTTGGTATTTGCTTTTTAATATAGTGAATTACAGTGATTGTTTTTCTTATGTTGAATCATCCTTGAATGCCTGTTATGTATCCCACTTGGTTATGGTGAATTTTTTTATGTGCTTTTGGATTCTATTGGCTAGGATTTTGTTAAGGATTTTTGCATCTATATTCATGAGAGATAATGATCTGTAGTTTCTTTCTTGGTAATATCTTTGCCTGGTTTAGGTGGGATTGAAAAATGGTACAACCATTCTGGAAGGCAGTTTGGCGCTTCCTAAAAAAGCTGAATGAACATAGAATTTCCATATGAATTTCTGTATTACCTAGCTATTCCACTACTTGGAATATATATACCCTGAGAAAATGAGAATTGAGGCACAAAAAGAGACTTGTATGTCAAAGTTCATAGCAGCACTATTCACCATCGCAAGAAC